TGCAAGGCAATCAGTTTTCTGCAACAAATTTAGCAATTTAAGAAACAAGTTTTATAGAAGTGACAATTTTTTCATAATAGAGTCATGACAAAGGCTAATTTCAGTCTTCTTAAACGTTCTAGAATTACAAACAATACTTAGAGTGAAAATTAAACAGTTCACAATAAATTATGCCTGTGACAAAAAAACTCGTGTTCCAATAGAAGATTTTCTGTTCACTCAAAGATCTTGAAAGACGTGGATCGAACATCTGCATATTAAGCACATCAAAGCTAAAATGAACAACTTTTTCCAGTGTGGTTCTTACAAACTTTTATTTCACCAAACTTTCACAGCTATTAGATAGGATAGAGAATTTTTAAATTCTGGGTTCCAGCATTTGACATTCTTATTTAAAAGAAGTTTTTATTTCTAATTATCAAGAGAAAATCCCAGAGCATAAAACTATTAACACTATTTCAAACTCCCTAACTCTTTCAAATATTTCAAACTCCCTTACTCTCTCCCAATTACCTCTGGAATAATAACTGAAAGTCATTTTGAAAGTCATATTCCGAAAAGTCGATTATTATATCATTCATATGTCCTTAGTATCAATTTATTACTAATTCATGCACATTAATAATTTGGTTTTGAATTCTATTTTTTATAACTAAATGTCAAAATGCCGATCTTCCAGGTCTTTAGCACATTATTATGCGCGGAGTGATCAAAGTTTCGAAGTTTCGTGTATATTGAATCCCACAAGATGTTTTGATGCCACTATGGCGCTATCACCTTTGTCCTGCTTTAATGTTAGACTTCATACATAACGCACAATCTCACAAACATGGCAAGACAAAGATCAAGGCCACTATATTTATTAGACATAAAACTATATGAATTGTTTTATATATAAATGAATGTTTCCATGGAAACAACTCATTTTCTCATGAAGCCCTACAGTGGCGGCCATTTTGAATTGAATAATAGAGGGTACACAACACTGTGTCACATTAATTCAATAAAAAGTTTAGTTACCCCAAGATTTTTTCTTCAGATTTTCAAATAGCCAATTAGAGGCAACAACTTGGCAACTTTTCAGAAAATGTTGTCAAAACAGTTTGTTTTGGGCATTTATAACAAGATTGATGACAACATGTTACAGCAATATAAATGTACCACCAATAAATCATTAAAGAAATGAACATGACAGATAGACAGACGTCATGTAAGATTTATTAATTTATTCACCATGTCCTTATTGCTGTACATATTACAATTTAAAAAAAAAAATATTATTGCACCATAGCATTTTTTAAACAAAGTCACTGCTGGCTCTTTTGCCATTCTTTTTTTTTCATTTTTAGTGTTAAATGCAAGTACATGCAAAGCAGTCTCCCAATAGCTGCAATCAAATCAAAAAACTCTCATTCGAGACCAATGCGCCAACCAATGTATCATAATGATTAATGGAAGCCCCCCCCCCCCATAGCAATGTCAGCAAACATGTCTGTGAACATTGCTAATCCACCACCACCATAGTGAACCAAACACCCCCAAATACGATGTCAGCAACCATGTCTCAGTGCAAGCATTGTGAATCATGGACACCCCCCCCCTGGTAAGATTTTCCAAGATGTCTTAATCACAATCCAAGATGTCATAATCAGCATCTATGTCTTAATCACAATCCAAGATGTCATAATCAGCATCTATGTCTTAATCACAATCCACAATGTCATAATCAGCTTCCATGTCTTAATCAAAATCCAAGATGTCATAATCAGCATCTATGTCTTAATCACAATCCAAGATGTCATAATCAGCATCAATGTCTTAATCACAATCCAAGATGTCATAATCAGCATAC